TAGATCTGTTAAGAACTGGCTTTTGTCTTTTGTTTATATTAGCAATATAATTATTACAATCTAACATATCATTTTGTTGATAATATAAGAGTAATTTTAAATATAAATTATAATTTTCACTAATAAATTTTCCTTTACAAATACAATGTGATTGGAATTCACTTGAATCATAAAAAAGATCTAGAAAATCTAAATTTTCATGATATTTTAAATATAATTCTAAATCGATTTGCTTTTTTGGCAAATCTTCATTATTTAATATACCACCTTGAAAATTAATATTATATTTAATAATTGCATATTTTTCATGAATATTTTTTCATCAACTTGTAAATCGTGTATTGCTAAATTTTCTCAAAAATATTTATAATATTCAATTTCTTTTAAATATTTTCATTGTAATTGTTCAAGATAAGGATTTTTTTCGCAAAGTCTTTCTAAAAATCTATTAGAAGAAGTTTTTTATAGTGCCAAATTGCATCAATTCTCCAATTTAGCTGACCACGATTATATGAATTATTTTGATATAATTCATCTAAATTGTAATTAGTAATTATAATTACATGTTTGATTCAGTTTATTACTTTAGTTCTTTTTACGTCAAATTGTTGTTGTTGTCTGAATAAGATTTTTAATAATGTAGAAAATAATAATTAAGAACTGTTAAATTTATCTATAATTAATACTGAATGACTATCATAACCATCAAACTATTTATCATCGAGTAAAAATATATTTTTATAATTATTTAGATATATTGATTTTCCACAATATTTATCACCATAATGAACTTCAGCAAATGGTTTTTTATATGGTTCAAAATACTTTTCTTCAATTTTAACCTTCTAATCTAATAAATGATAACTATAAATTATATAAGTTTGAGGAAATTCTTCAGCTAAAGTACTGTTTTTGATATATTCTCCTTTTTTAATTTTATTTAAAAGGTATGATTCTGCAACTTTAAGTTTTTCAATTTTATATTTTGATATATAATCCTCATATTTTGTAATATAGTCTATTACTGAGTTTGTCAAGTATCCTCCTTGTATATTAGGATGATAGATTT